GAATTAGGCATATACAAGAATCTATGAATCCCCACTTGTTTGCCCAATTTGTATTTGTGAGGTTTACAAAAATACGCCTTTTCACTTTGGCCGGTCGCCCCCTTTACAAATATATAATCATCATCCAGTGGTGTTAAAGCCTGGTTCAAACCTGAATACGCTGCTCCCGTGTCCACTAAAAATTCCACTTCCTCCTGTTGCATCCCTAGCTTTAGAGCAACCAGTGGATCTGCTAGGGTAGACTCCCCCGGTTCCCGTCAATCCTCTTCAATACTTGCTACCACCTTTCCGTTCCCCCGCCGATTCCCTTTCCCTCTCCGTTCCCCTCTATAATTTCCTTCCTGTCTCTTTGGACAATCTGCCTTCCAATGTCCCTTCTGCCTACAGATCGCACACTGATCCCAATCCAACTTCGGCCCCCTCCTAGGTACCCGTGTCTCTTTGTCCGTCACTGCCGCAATCCTCTTCTGCACTTTCTTGCTTTCCTCTTCTCTATTGCTATACACTCTCCATGCCTCATCCAATAACACCTCCAAATTCCTGCCATCCGTCGGGCGTAATTTCTGCAATTTACGCCTGATATCTCCAGTTGATTGCCTTGTGAACAGGGAGACTAATTGCTGTATTCCTACTTCGGACCCGGGATCCAGTGTCGTGTTTTTACGCATTACTTCTCGCAAACGATCCAAAAACTCAGTTGGTGATTCCGAGGGGTTTTGTCTGATTTCATATAAGGCCGACCAATTAATAGTTTTAGGGACAGCCCTCTCCACCTCCTTTGCAATCCACTCCTGATACGCTTTTAGCCTTTCTAAATGGGCATGTCTATTAGGATCTGGTTCGTGGAGAGGAAAGTAACATCCCCTCCTACTGTCTTATAGTGGTCCTCGGCTAAATCACCCACTGCTTTTAGGACCAGCTGTTTCTCTGTTTCGGTTAAATGGTCCAACAACAGCTGGATGTTTTGCCAATCTCGATTATGCTGTTTCACAATGACCCGAAAGTGTTTAGCGACACTCACTGGATCGCTTCGGTATTGTCCGACTACCCGCTTCCAGGCTTCTAGGTCCGCAGTTGCAAAGGGAAATTTTAATAACATTGTTCCTCCTTCTACCTCCACCGCCTGTCTTAAAGGGGGCTGTATTACAGCGGGGGCAGTTGGGCTCCCAACGCGGGAGGCAACAGGACTCCCTGGCTCCAGGGGTGGGGGTGGTGGAGGAAGAGGGGGTTCAACGTTATCTAATTCCTCATCCGATTCTCTAAACTGAGGGGCAGGTCTGTATAAACCGTTTAACTCTTGCTCCGGTATTTGATGAGTCTGATCAGCCCTAGAGCACCTCTGCCCTATACTGCAAGCTGAACAGCAACGTTTTCTATTTCCTTTACCACGTTCACGCTCTAAGGCAAGTCCCGACGGGTCCTGTGATGGTACCGTTCCACAGTCCCTTTGCCATTCTGGGTGATTGCGGAGGGTGAAGAACATATCTGCGTATGAGACCTCATCCCATTTCCCTTCCCTCCTTAGGAATAACATTAACTGCAAAGTTGTATTATGGTCAATTGTTCCGTTAAGTGGCCATTTAGCCCCATCTTCAAGCTTATAAAGCGGCCACCACTGGTTGCAATATTTTATAAGAGTTCTCTTATTTTCAGTACCCCCTGTTCCATTAATGTCTTTCCAGTGTGCTAAAACGCATCCTAAGGGGCTTTTTGTGGAGATCTTGCCCTGAGTGTTACCCATCGCGTTTACTGATTCGTTACGCCCTTTAAATTTCCCACACCGCACTCTTATTAATTCTCCTTCAATACCATCTGAATTCCTTCAAAACCTACAAGAGTACAGAAATAGTTCCCCCACTGCTCTGCGTGTACCCAATTAACACAATGGTAACAACTCGGAATATTCAGTGGGTTGCAAGAGTAATCGTTCCCCCCGTGCACAGGACAATGACACTACACAGATCTAGTTGTCACTCGCTTCGTTCATTCCCGGCCGCTCCCCTCGCGGGAAAGGTGGAACCGCGGGGCAGAACTCCGCAGTAAAACCGTGTCTCAGTCTCACTCAGTCGCACACACACACACAATATCCGTTTTCTATATCAGAATGAAGGGACGGCTACAATTATGACAACAAAATATCAAACAGACAAGTATTATCCCAGATGTTATCCCCCTGGCAGCTGCTATCAAAACCCAACTACTCGTATGACAAGGGAAAGATTCCTCTTACCCTTCTCCTGCTTCTTACACAGTCACTAGCAGGTCCGCCCTGGCTCCCGTCTGGGATGCAGCGGCAATCTTTCGGGCTACTCCATCTACCCTCAAGATCGCGAGCGGCCACCCCTTGTGGTCAGTAGCCCCCTCTCAGCACCCACCCGGGCACCC